TCTTGATTTTAAAGTAGTCTTGCTGGCTAATGGAGGTAACATTGCAGTAGCAGATCATAATGGTATTGTAAACGGGTCGTATTCACTGTTGAAACATTTTGATATTAAGCTGAATGGCAAAAAAGTGTATGATTGCAATGACGCGAATCACGCGGTTAATATTAAGAACTTACTTGAATACAATCCATCTTACGCTGATAAGACAGCTAGTAATGAGTTTTTAAATCTTGATACATCCAGAAATGCGGAAGAGCGGGAATTTGAAGTTAGTGGCACAAATCAGTTAGCCAAAAGAAGAGCAGAATACAATAAGGGTTTTGCCCTTCGGAAAGCACTCTTAGGTGTCTCAGCTAAAGTGAATACAGAAATACCACTGAATAGATACTCATTCTTTGAAATGTTAGAGGAGGAGCTGTTACCCAATACAAGAGTTGAGATGAATTTTGAGATTGAGTCAGATGGTAATCTAATTTGGCAAGCCGGGGCTAATTGCAGAGTGGTTATCACTAGGATGCAATTGTATGTTCCGCGAATAACCTTTAACAGTGAGGGCCAATCATCCTACATGAGTTAATACCTTAAAAATCATAAGTGGACTTATTTGAGAGAGAATATTGAAAGATCAAATAGTAGCCAGCAGAGAGCTGGGCATTTCAGAAGCTCTTCTAGTATTTCGAAACCCCGACACGTGTTTGGATTCATAATCAATGATGCGAATATCGATTCCCAGACAGCTAATCCATTCTTGTACAATACATTCTCTGTATCAACTGACCCAAGAACCTTATCCAATTGTCACCTGGAAGTTGGAAACGGAAATGAATACCCCGAAATACATTACACACCAAGTACTGATAGAGAGTCTTTAGGGATGTGTTGAAATATGTTCACAAAAATAATGAATACGGTGAAGGGTCATTACTCAATAAATCTAATTTTAGTACGCTATTCCCCTTCCTGTATTTAGACTGAACAAAACAGAAAATGGACATTAAGGATGGCACTACAAAACTGACATTCAAATATGAGCTATCTGGAACAACGGCAACAGCCTACTCAGTTTACGCATTAACATTATATGAGCAGGATGTTGAGCTAATACAGAAAGATGGCAAAATAATACTCAGATCGTAAATTGAATATGGTTAAAATTATGTAACATATATTATATACAAGTAATGACAAAATATTATCCTTATGGTGTGTCACTTAGTAAAGGACAATTGGAAAAGCTTTCGAGAGCTTACAATAATAATTCTGCAATAACTACCAGGTTAGCCAGAAATGAATTATCCGGTCCACACGAATTAATGCTCACAAAAACTCAGATCAATAAGCTGAGAAAAGCAATGAGCCAGGGTACAGGGTCGGATATCAAGATATGAAAAACACAAATCAGAAAGGCTGTTCCACAGGGTGGTAGTTTGTGGGGATCATTAATCAGTTTAGGAAGTAAGTTGCTACCTATGGCAATGCCATTAGCCAAAAAAGCTATCGCACCGCTTGCAACAGGAGCGTTATAGGGATTAGCCAGTCTCGGTGTGGATAAAATATTCGAAAAAGGTCAACGAGGAGGTTTTCTTATTCCACGGGATAAAATAACACAATTGATTGCGTACAAACATTTAAGATTCATAAATAAACCGTTATCAAATATTGATTTTTTACAATGGGGTTACACAATTAGGAATAAAATGCTTCAGAGGTATCTACAGCCGTAATAATTTACCAGACAAAATACACAAATTGGAAACAGGAATAATTAATTTGGATGATTCAATGGGCGGGGGCAGTCATTGGATTTGTTATAGAAACGTGGATAAACAATATTGTGAATATTTTGTCGAATTTTGACCCGTTCGGATTAATCATGCCCAATGAAATCAAAAATTATCTGAAAACAAGCAGTAAAAAAATGGTGTACTCATCAGATGAAATACAAAAAAGAGACAGTGTTTTGTGTGGTTATTAGTGCTTATATTATCTTCTAGAGGGACAGAAGGGGAAATCATTATTAGACGTTATACATAACCCCAAATTCAGTTTTACAAATCAAATGATAAATCACCAATTTCTGATAAACTATTTTATGTAATCTATATATATAAGATGACTGAAAAATTCTGTGTTTATTGCCAAGAAGTTACTCCACATTATATGAATCAATATGGATGTTTCGAGTGCTGCAACTGTGAGCCCCTGAGTGACAGTGATTATGAGTCAGATAGAATCCATGAAAATTATGTTCCAGATAGTATTGATAGTGAATAAACACCTCTCTAGGCAACAGCGTGAAACACGCGTTTAGTCCATCTTTATTACCCCAAAAGCTACCCCGCCGTTTTGGCGGATCAGGTCCCAGACCATTTTTATATAACATAAATATATAATAATGGTGAAATCTTATTGTGTTAAACAGAGAAAGCAAACAAAATGTGTAGAACGTTCGGGTTATAAAACTGCCAAAAATGGTAGACTTATGTTTTGGTGCACGTGTGCTGAATGTGGAATAAAAAAGTTTAAATTTGTAAAGAAGGGAAACTAATTGGGCCCTCTCAAGCAAGGGGCGATTTATTTGACACCGCTGTAGGAACCGCTACTGATCTATTTGTACATCATGCCCTACCATATATGGCCAAAAAGACCGTTGAGATGGGAAGGTATTATGGGTCAGAAGCATTACGCAATAAAAAGTTACAGAAAAAAGCTATAGATTANGTTATAAAACTGCCAAAAATGGTAGACTTATGTTTTGGTGCACGTGTGCTGAATGTGGAATAAAAAAGTTTAAATTTGTAAAGAAGGGAAACTAATTGGGCCCTCTCAAGCAAGGGGCGATTTATTTGACACCGCTGTAGGAACCGCTACTGATCTATTTGTACATCATGCCCTACCATATATGGCCAAAAAGACCGTTGAGATGGGAAGGTATTATGGGTCAGAAGCATTACGCAATAAAAAGTTACAGAAAAAAGCTATAGATTATGCTTTAGACAAATTAAATGCGATGATTCAGAATGTTGGTTCTCAAGCTCTTGACCAATTATCAACCAAAATACGACCAAAGAAAAACTACAAAACTAACAGGAAAGATTTGGATGGAGGTGCTTTGGATATTCACAAGCAGATTGGAAAATTACCAAGACCCGCAGGTGGTTGGACATTACCGGGCCATAAATACACAGGGCCATACAATGATCTCGAAAATCAAGTAAGATACAATCCAGAAACTGGTGAAATATTAGAAATTTATGATCAACCAACTGGGCCAACCGATGCCGTAGCCATGCAGCATGATGTTGATTATAGTTTTTGTGGTGATAACCGAAAGTGCAAAAATAAAGCTGACCGTAAAATGGTAAAATCATTAGACACCATTCCTTATAGTGAACGACAATGGGGTCACTGGTTAGCTAGAAATATTATAAACACAAAACAGAAACCCGGTCTTGGTTTAAACTAGAAAAGCCGTCGGGTATCAGTTGGCAACAACAATTAGCAGATGAACTACATAAATCCATAAAACGCAACTTTACTCGGCGGCGTGTTATTACAACCGGTATTGACAAAATTTGGTGCTCAGATGTGGTTGAGATGCAACAGTTCAGCAAATGGAACAAAGGTTATAGATATCTTCTCATGGTACTAGATCTATTCTCCAAATATGGCTGGATTGTCCCACTGAAGGATAAGAAAGGAGAAACTGTCACAGAAGCATTTAAAACCATCTTCAAAGAGGGCCGTAAACCACAATATCTTTGGACTGATAAGGGGAAAGAATATTATAACAAAAATATGAGGGAACTGTTGGAAAAGAATAGCATAACACTATATTCAAACGAGAGTGAGAAAAAATCTAGTGTATGAGAAAGATGGAACCGTACAATTAAAACCAAAATGTGGAAGCAGTTTACTGTCCAGGGTAATACCCAATATCTCGACATACTACCAAAAATATTGAAGCAGTATAACAACACCAAACACAGTTCCATTAAAATGACACCTGTAGAAGCTAGTAAAAAGAAGAATGAAAATGCCGTATTTAACAATCTATATGGTGATATGACACAGTTGTCATCTAAGCCCAAATTCAAGATTGGTGATAAAGTTAGGATAAGTAAGTACAAGAGAAAGGTATTCGATAAAGGGTACACACCTAATTGGACAGAGGAGATATTTCTGGTCGATAAAATCCAATCCACAAACCCAGTTACTTACAGATTAAAAGATCTTAACAATGAGGAAATACAAGGCAGCTTTTATGAACCAGAATTACTGCCACCAAAACAGGATGTATTTCGCATTGAAAAGGTCATTCGGAAGGATTATAAGAAGAAAAAAGCTCTTGTAAAATGGGTAGGCTATAGTGATGACTTTAATAGTTGGATTCCACTGAGCAGCTTACAAGATTTATCTAACTAATAGTATATATGGAGGATCATATAAGAAAGCTTGATACTAAAATCCAGAGGAAGGATTCCGAGCTTAATGCACTATTCACTAAAATCCAAAAATTAGAGGAAGAAATTGCGACATTATACCACAAGAAATTAATATCCAAAAAGCTAGAATCAGCTGAGATGACATTAACAGGCGTTTTAGGTGCAATCTTTGAAACAGAGGAAGAGGAAGAGTAATTGCCAGCGTTCATAAAACGTGGACGGTGGGATGGGGTCGTGAAAAGCCACCTCAACTAATAGTGATATTAGACAAAGAATACCGAGACACGTTGATAGCGGAGATAAACAGCTAATTTGTTGGGGTAACGATTCGTTTCATCAACAAAACACCCCAAAAGCTACCCCGGTGAAACGCCGGGTCAGGTTCAGAAAGCTGGCGAGGACGTTTTGCCCCCTCAGGTCTAATGTGCTGAGACGGCACCTCAGACCCACCATACTTTTTAATCTATCCTGCTTTTCATATTTTTGGTCTGCATGATAATACTTATGTAACCTATGTATATGAAAAGCATGATTGAAAAAAGGTATACTAATGAAGAGATGAATATCGAACTGACTTCATTTCTTGATAATAAGCAAAATGTTTGTTTCCGAGGAAAGGATATTGCTAAGATACTTGGATATACAGATACTGACGATGCTGTCAGAAGGCACGTATCCGCAGAAAACAAAATGATACAATTTATACGACCAAATTGTTGGGGCGGTAAAACACCGGGTCAACAAAATGACACTAGAGGGAAATATTATACATTCATAAACGAGCCCGGCTTCTATGAACTTGTATTCGGTTCTAAATTAGAGTTTGCTAAAAGATTCCGCCAATGGGTATTTACTACAGTCCTCCCATCTATCCGTAAATATGGCCAATACAAACTGTTTGATAGTCCCTGGAATAAGATGATCATGATTGGCAATGAGACTGACCTCCAGTACAAAGTAGTGGACCTCATAAGGAGATATTATCCAGATACTATATAAGTAGCAGGACTGGGGGAGAATCAGGATACTGATGACAAACGCCTCGATTCGTACAAGAAGGGATATATGAGAGGACAACCTGATCTAATGGTACTCGATTATCACAAAGATTATAAAGGCCTCTGTATTGAATTCAAATCACCAACTAATAATTATCATGTATCAGAAGCACAAAAGGAGATGAAGAAAAAGTACGTTAATAATGGCTATGCATTTATACTCAGTAATGATTACGATGAGATCTGCAAAAAGATCCACGATTAAATGAAAGGTATCAGAGTACCATGTAAATATTGTATCAAACACTTCTATAATAAGGACACACTAAAAACCCATTACAGAGTTATCCACCGAATTGAAAAATAAAATTATCACAAACTAAAAACAAGTCAGTATCTATTTAACACACCTTTTTTATATTCCATAATTATATACATAATATATATATGGAAGATTTTATCCGTCTTTTAGCCAAACAACAATCTTCTGAACACACGTAAAAATACGATATTTTTACATGTGAAGATATCGATAATTTCACTGACATCAGGTTTGTCTCTTAAATTGTACTTAAATTCGTTGGTGGATCATCGAAACATCTTCGGGTCTTCCTCGAAAGTGCTCGGCAATCTTCGGCAATCTTCGGCAATCTTCGGAAATTTTCGGAAATTCTCGGAAAATGTTCGGGAACGTTCGTCTGGTCTTCGGGACAATTTGAAAAATCTTCGGAAATCTTCGAAAGGTGGTCGGAAATCTTCGGAAAATCATCAAAAACGCCGTGATCAGTATGTTATATAATAAACAGAATAATACATGGACGCTTGGAGATATGGAATTTATCTTCTCGTGTTCACATTCGATATCACACTCGTTCGCTGCGCTCACTCGTCCGATATCGATATGAACACTCGAAGATAAATTCCATATCTCCGCGCGACCATGTATTATTCTCTATATATTCCTCCAAATGGTAGAGTAAGCCTTAGTAAACAAAAGTTGACCAATGAAATGGGACTTGTCTCAAATATTCAATCAAAAGTCGTACAAAAGCACACGAAAACCGCTCTAAAATCAGCATTATAGCAATTAAACCAGCTAAAAGAACCAAGAATTTCATGCCGTGGGTTATTACTACTATCTGGTATCATCAAAAATACTTGTGAAGGATACAAAGGATCAGTACTGATTGAGCCTGAACAAGCAATAGAAAAAGCTGATAAATGATATAAATGCGGTAAGAGCTTTTATAAAGATCCTATTTTAGGTACTTATAAAAAGGAAATAATCGAAGATCCTATTGTGGATAAAATATTGGAAATGATTGCAAAAGCAAATATAGACAGATTAGATTTTGGACTCAAAAAATAACCAATAATCATTCTCATGTTGTATTCACAAATGAGGATAAATATCAAAACTATAAGCCAGATCCTGACTCAAAAACCAAAATAATATATAGTCGCAAGCTATTTCAGTATGGTGATATGGTTGGGCTTAGATATTATTAAAATCAAACCGCTCAAAACCGGTTCAAACCGGATTCCCAAGGTTAAGTCCAAAAAGTGCATATATCAGCAAAATATATAAGAACTGTCCTAAACCGCCCAAAACCGGTTCAAACCGGATCCAAAAATGCTGACGTCAACAAAATCCCAAGGTCAAATCCATAATATATGATATGCGCTGGTACCCCATATATAATATGCGCCGGTACCCGCATTTACTATACTACTTGTCTTCAACGGTGAAAATTTTGATATATTTCTACTATGCTGTTGATTTATTTAACTTTTAGACAGTTTTTAGAGAGTTTTTCACTGTCATTGCATACTATTTTCCAGCAATCAGTTTGTTTAGCCTGCGAAAACATCCGTTTCTCCTCGCTCTTCGCCGCTGGGGACGTTTCCCGAGGAGGAACGTCTGCGACTCAGCGAGAGAGATTCCATACTGATGACGTAAAATATGTCCAGAATCCGGTCAGAAGCCCTGATTAGTCGACGGAGTAGTTACATTGTTTTAGCTATTGTTTACGAATGACAGACAAGAGACAAAAGGCCACAAAGGTCAAATGTAAACGCGATGAATCTCTAACAAAACAGTCAATATTTGTGGAATATAGTCTTCTCTACAGCAAGCATTTGAGTTTTGCTGGAGCTCGTTCGCAGATGAACACACACTTTACCAAAATCGATCAGTAGAGACCTAAAATTGAATAAATTTACATTTGGAACCCCACGACTACCGGATTTATTAAGTAAACATTTATTTGCGTCATCAGTATGGAATTTCTGTCGCTGAGTCGCAGACGTTCCTCCGCGCGAAACGTCCCCAGCGGCGAAGAGCGAGGAGAAACGGATGTTGTCGCAGGCTATCATTTTGTTCTGCATGAAGCGTTTGCCAAAGTTCATAACTTTATTAGTTAAATTAACAATGTGTAAAATCTAAACCCATGCATGTTTCAAATTAACTAATGGTAAATGAAAATGATGCCTTTTAAAAAAGAAAATGAAAATTTCCTCAGTTTGAGCGTGATGTAGTATAAAACTCTGGCCAGAAAAATTTATTTGTTTTTTGTTTCCCTTTTTTCTCTTCTTCATTCTAAACAATATTTCCTCAGAAATTTATGATTCATGATTCCATGTTATAGTGCTGCCGTAAAAAAATCATTCATCGTTAGATTCAATTTAGTTTTCTCATATTCATTTCGGAAGGTATTCATCCAATGCTTGCACTGATTTATTGAATCTTGGAAATTGGGACAAAGTTTAAAATTTTGGGGTACGTATTCTCCAACAAAGCTCGTGGAATTTTATTATTATATGGCGACTGCAGTAGACTTAATTACAATTTGCAGTGCATTCAGACTATTGTAGAAATATCTAATTCATTCAGAAATCATATTTCTTTTATCATCTAAAGGTAATAAAGTCAGTGGCATTTGTGACTATCCTTACCACTTGAGCAGGAACTCTTTATATCGTTCTCCCCAGCAGATCAACATGGTTATGGTGTATGATGTTCAGCTGCGATTGAGTACTGATCAAGAACTGTTTAAAACTGTTTAAGTACAAATGCTTAATTGACGAAGAAACTCGTAATTTTCTAAATTGTCACAAGCTGTATCTCCAATCACCATATTATAAATTCACCAATCACCATATTATAAAATTCTACCATTTTTTTGGAATACCTAGTACCCCACGAATGTTTAATCCTCTTCCCAGTGCCCAATACGTGAGTGCAAACATTGAGAGGGATATTTTCAGAGGTGTAGCTTCTTGTCCACTAGTATGCACATGCTACTTGCTACCTAAAAAAGGTGTTGAAGATCATAAAAACTAAGCAAAAAAAGAAAATGAAAAAACAACAATAACTACGACAGAAAACTGGGAACAGAAGGCAAAAACTGTGTAGTTGCCCAAGTGACTTTTTGTGCAAACAAAAACAATGTTTCTCTATCAATTGAAGGCAGCTGGGGTACTTTATATTAAATCTCTGGTTCATAGTAATCCGTATTTCAGATTCTTCCAGGGACCCAAATGTATGATTACTCTTTGATGGGTGTTACACCTATTTTCTTTTCGGTTCCTGCTTCTTTTTCGCTTCTTTCTCTTTCTGGCTCTTGATGTTTGAGATTTTGAGATAAAAAGTTTATTTTACTGCTGAGTGTTAAATTAGCTGTTCTCGTAAGAGAAAAGGTGCACGCTCATACTCGCCTAACAAACGCATGATCAGTTTTCCTTTGAACGAGCACCCCCTTTTTGGTAGATGTAACCGGAGCTCAGTCCCTTCTGACAACCACTTGGTTATTTTTTATGCATCTATACATGCAGTAGTTTCGTTTCTCCGTGAACACAAAATGAAATGAGTAATAAATTCTTGTAAAATTATGTTCTTTTGGTGGTGTGAAAAACAAACAAATCATGCTGGGATGTCACCGCCCCTCCTTTACATTTTCCACTTCTTTTTCTGTGGCGTTGATTTACACGTTACTGTGTCTCTTGCTTTCTTTTTTTTCTTTTGTCTTTCTTCCTTATATGAAGTTCATGCCCACTTTATCGTCTTTCTTTTGCATGGAAGAGTCATGGAATTGTGGCTGGCTTACTCTTTGGAAAAGGGACAAATTTAATCTTAAAGAGTAGTAGGTAAACAGCGAAATTGGCAGTCGATTTTTCCCCAAAATGTTATCCTTTTTTGTATGTGTAGTTCTGTTAGGATTGGTCAGAAAATATCCAAAACGAGGTATCGGTGGAAAGATCTATATTTGATGACGTTATTGCTTACCATTTTTAAAGCTAAAACTGGCTTAAACTGAAAGTTAAATGGGTCCAGGAAGGAAAATATGCATCGTTCCATATGGAACGAGAAAGACCAAAGCAGTAGTCAGAAAAACAGTGGAATTTTGACTAATCGTTCTTCTCGAGCAAAGCAGCTTATAACAAAGTGTGACCTTAAGAAATTAGTATTTTCTTATGAAGTCTCAGTAGGAAAATCATGTTTGACGTTGTTAGGATGATAGGCTCGGCCAGGATATTGGAGAAAAGTATATCAAGTATCCGTAAATGCTTCTGGACTTTTTTCATTATTTTTTAAGTGATACAGATTTAACAGCAAACCGTTTCTATATGCGCTTAATTACTTTTCTTCACATTACAAAGCTAGCACCGTTTCCTTTTATTCAAGTCCAGTTAACCAAATAAACGAGCTTACTGCTGTGGATTCGGCACTTCCTCAATAAAGATACGACTCATTGAATGCCAACCAGTAAGGGAGTGTGCAAGCTTGTCGCCGGTGACGCACTTTCCAACTGAGAGTCCAACTCGCACTGTTCCCTTCTTTATGTTATGACAGTGGCCTTCAATGTGTCTGGGACGTTGATTTGTGACTGTTTGCTGGTAGAATGCACCGTCAATAGTTCCAGGAGAGCTACACCCATTGCCATTGAAGGTGAAATACAACCGACTACAGCAGCCGCTACACGATGTCGTTTTCAAGTTACC